GAGGGGATAGGGGGAAGGAAGGAAGGGGGAGTAGAAGGAAGGAAGGTAGAGGGAGGGGGAAGGAAGGGGGGTAGAGGGGGGAAGGAAGGAAATGAGGAGGGGGGGAGGGGAGGAAGGAAGGAAAGGAAGGTAGGGAGTGCAAGGTAAGAAGGAAGGAAGGAAGGGAGATAGGGGGCATAGAAGAGAAAAAAAAAGGGACCAGGGAAGAAAAAAAAGAGGGTTGGGTAGGATTTATAGAAAGTCATATATATAAAACAAATCCATCTCCTTATTTCCCCCCAAATCAAATAATCAAGTGATAGGAAGGGCCTTTCCTTATTCATTTATCTATTTATTTATTCATTTATTTATTCATTTACCTATTAGCCCTCATTCATATTATTATCGTTGATATTTACTTCGGCGCGCGTGGAACCTTCGACTCTCCGTCTAAAAGCGCCGAATTCCTGCCGCTTTCATTTTGGTACGTTCCAAATTACACCAAATAACAGTCTGACTAACAATCGGATAAATATTTTTTAAGTAATAAAGCAAATCAAAAAGTAAATAAAAAAAAAAGAAAAAATCGTCAATCGTTCCATGATTTTCTGGAAACATCTGCGTGCGGGTCCTGTCGGAAAGGGGGGAGAGGGGGGGGAGGGAGGCAACATTAATGCCCATAATTTCCAAGATCAAATGATAATAATAATGTCAAAAATAATGAATAAAAAATATCCGATTCCCGTCTGAATGTCTGACTTTTTTTCCATTTTCTTTCTTTCTTTTTCTTCTTCTTTTCGTTATTGTCCGTATCTTTTCTTTTTTTCAATATCTCGTTCAGATTTTTTTCTTCATACTTTCTTTCTTTCCTCCTTCTCTTCTCTTTTTTCTCATCTTATTCCGTTTTTTTTTTTCTGATATATTTTATTTCAGTCTGAAATCAGGTTAGATGCACATGCACGTGTTAGATCAAATTTCCCGCCAAATACATTTTTCGAAAGTTATTTTGCACGCGTTCGAAAATCGCTGCCTCGGCAACAACCCGAATGCCAGAAACGATGAAAAAAAAACGAGAAAAAATATAATATTTAAATTATCAACTGTAAACACGTCAACCACAATAACAAATGATGATGATGATGATGATGATGATGATGATGATGATGATGATGATGATGATGATGATGATGATGATGATGATGATGATGATGATGATGTTGATGATGATGATGATGATGATGATGATGATTAGTAATAATATCATTAAAAGTTTAATAGCCATCCACCTATAAACAGCAAAACCTACAACAAACTCAACTCAAGAAAACAAAGGTCCGTTTTACATAAACATTTGTCTCGGGCGCGCTGAGGCAACCATATACACCCCCCCCCACCCACCCACCCACTCCGCCTTTCCCCCCTTAAATCTTATAAATTAATAATAATAATAATAACAAAGAAACAAGAAACGCAGAGAAATAAATAAACCAGACGACACGTAATTAACGAATCGGAATTAATGAGAAGGAGAAAAAATATTATCATCAGATAGCGTGCGCCATATCATTATCTCCCCCCCCTCCCCCCCTCCCCCTCCCTTCCTTCCCCCCCCCCGGCGTGTCACAACGGACAGTGCTTGACAAACAAGAATAAAATGAATAACAAGAAATACAGTAATTAAAACTTCCGGCTGCATTTCAAACTTTTAAACGGCCGATGCGTGTTGTATAATCACGAAGATTTTTTTAATTAAATGAGAAAGGAAAGAGATAAACAGAACGAAAACACAAATGGCTCTCTACCCCCTACCCCAACCCCCCACCCCCCCTCGGATATGCAACCACAAGATTTCTTTAAGAATTATCTTGTTACTGACATAAAGACAATCATTATTGTTACCACTATTGTTGTTATTATAATCACCATTATCATAATCATAATAATGTTAATAATAATCACAATATCAATAGTAATAATATTAATATTAACAATAATAATAATAATAATAATAATAATAATATAAATAACCATCATCACCATCGCCACCACCCTCATCATCACCATCACGATCATCACTATTACCACCGCCATCACCATCATCATCACCACCTCCACCGTCATCGATATCATCAGCATCACCATCATCATCATCACTGTCATCGCCATCATTATCCCCATCGCCATCATCACCACCATCACCACCACCCTCATCACCATCAACCACCACCATTATCAAAAATACTTTTAAAAAACCACGGAAATCGACCTAACCCTCCCCCCCCCTACTACCACACCTACCTCTCCCCTCCTTCCCCCCAACCACCACCTGCCCCCTCCCCGGCTACCTAACCCCCCACAGACCAAAACCACACCCAAGCTAACGAAAAGGTCGTAGTGAATAATAGAAGATCCTCCTCCACCTTTTCCCTCCTCCCTCAATATACCCCCCCCCCCAAAGTTATCACGACACGAACGTCACAAGAGGGAGGCCCTACAATTGAATCGTCAACACACTCTCCCG